CAGGGGCGGCATCTGTGAGAGAAGACTGTGGCAAAAATCCAGGCGGCCCTGACGGACCCTGACTCCAGCAGTGGTCTCAGCAGCTCTGCTCGGGGGGATGGGGGAGGCCGGAGCCGAGCCTGGAGTGTCTTTAACGTCTTTCCACCTTGCCTGCGGGAGGCAATGGTGTGCACAGACTTGAACCAGACACTTCTGGGCCCCATGCGGTTGTGTAACCTCAGGCAGGTCACTGCACCTCTCTGATCCTCGTTTCCCTGTCAGAACAATGAGGATAATACTAACCCCCACCTGGCAGGGACTCTGCAAGTGAGATAAGCAGCCGGACTGCATGGTGGGTGAGAATGCTGCAGATGGACTCTGGAGCCTGGCCACCTGGGCTCCTTCGAGCTCTTTCTCAGTCCTGCTGCTTATTCAGTGAGTGACCTTGGGTAAGTTAACCAACCTTTCTGGGCCTCAGTTTCCTCATCTGTGAAATGGATTTAATAACAATATCCACATCAAAGGATTCACATGAAGACTGAATGAATTAATGCATGGAAAGCACTTAGAACAAATAGTGCTTGGCACACAGTAAATGCAGTAAAAAAAAAAAAAAAGTGCTAGCTATTATTACATAAAGCCACAGAGGGTGGTGCCTGGAACACAGAAGGCTGAGACTCACTCAGCACGTGTGTGGCCTCTTCTCTATGCTCCGGGCCTTTACTATGCTCTCAGCAAATTCAGAGGCCCCAGTAGGCAAGGCGGGGGGCGGGGGGGCGGGTTGTGAGATGAAAGAGTAACAGAGGGCAAGCCTGGGTCCAGTCTTCCTCCTGCCTAGGCCCCCATCTGACACCCACTCTCTTCAAAGCCCTCCAGCCGGGTCCTCGGCCAGTGGCCTACCCTGCCCTGATCCTTCCTTCCTCCCAGAACCTCCACACCCCACCACCCTTGCTGCTCGTTTTGTGCTGAGCACTGTTGCTATGGTGGGCTGAGCCTGGAACCCTGCATCTCTGGCCAGGAAGAAGGGGCTCTGCAAGCGCAGAGAGCATGGTGTTTACTCAGCCTGGTGGCCCCTCCTGCTCTGTGCATGCAGCCAAGAAATGTTTGTGGATGACAACAACCCCATTCTTGCCCCAGATCTAGACAGAGAAGCAAGATTCCTCTAATTCTCATTCAACTCGACATTATCATTTCCTCCCACACAAGTATAATGCTCCTAACACAGTGGGGGGAAAATAAATGGCTTACCCTCCTGGGAAGAAGGAGAAACCCTCCTCCCCGGGAAAAGCACCCTAGACCCCAGAGGAGACAGACTTCCCCAGGGCCCCCTCCCCGGGCTCACTCCCCCCGCCCCCACCACACTCCCTCCCGGTGTCCTCGCCCCCGCAGGAAGCACACACTGACACAGCCCAGCAGCCAAGCAGTAGACCACGCATTGCCCTGGCTGTCAGGAACACCAGGCCAGGCCCTCTGGTTGCTGTCCCCCAGTGTGAGCCAGCTTGCAGGGTGGGCGGGGGGGGGGGGGGGCATTGTGTGCAGGCCGGGCGGGGGCAGAGGATGTAGAGTTACCACCACACCAGCTTCAGCCCACCACCGCCTACAGCAGAGCCGGGGCTGGGCCCATGCAAAGAGCGTGGGAAATCCAGCTCTCTTCAGTGTGGAGCGCCTTAGCAGTGGCCCCCAGCACACCCGTAAATCATTCCAGGCGCCAGAGCTGCGAGGGGGGCCAGGCCAGGGCCAACAACGAACGCAGAGCTCTTCTCCAATCATCTGGAGACGGGTGACGATGCCAAGGATAAAAGACCCGAAGGAACGTTGGTGGAGACCAGCAGCGACTAACAAACAAACAAGCAAGCAAACAAACAAGCGAAGCCCTCACATCCAGAAGACCAGTGGCCAGAAGGAGGTTGAGCCTCGTCTCGCTCTCTGCTGCACGAAAAAGGCCACACCCAGAGCACAGCAGAAGGCAGACTGGCATCCGGGAACCTGTCCAGAGGAGACAGCGCGGGAGGATGTGGGAATCCTGGGGCTATGACACGGGTGGGGGGTGGACACGACCGCGGCTATCAGCTGCAGTAGATGGACAGTTCACAGGACCGAGAGTCCGTCTTCGGGCGAGTGTGACCTCTGGCGTGTCGCTTCCCTCCTCTGAGCCCCCTCAGTTTCTTCGGCTAGAAAATGTGGATCGTGGTGGCAGCCCCACAGGGTCGCAGGGAGGATTAAATTAAGTCCCCGGGCACACGGGACCCTCACCAAGCAGCAGCTGGGCCCCGGCCCCCTCTCTCCCCCCTTCCTCCGCCAGAGGGAGCCTGGGGACCAGAAACGCCTATAGCCTGTACCCGCTCTACCTACCCCCCCCCCGCCCCCCTCCCGCGCTGCAGCCTCTGCTGCCCGGCTTCCAGCTGTAACCTTCTCACCCGCTCCTTGCAAACCCAGGACGGGCCTGGCAGGGGCCTCTCCTTGGCAGCTGCGGCGGCGGAGTGACTACTGCATCCACGGGCCCCCTCTTGATGCCCAGCCGGGAGGGAGACACAGCCTTCTTCCCTCCCCCGTCGGCGCCCCCACTCCTCCCAGAGTCAGCTCCTCCTGCTCAAGTCCTCTAGGTACCTAAGGCTCTCCCGGCCTCTCCCAGCTCGTGACCTGGCCAGGTCCTGAAGCCAAGAGACTCCTGTGGGTTGGAAGCTCTGGTGGAAAAATGACAGGCCTCGGAGACAGGTGGACGTGGGTTCAAGTCCCAGCTCCACTGGGAGCCAGCAGCATAACCTTGCACAAAACCCTTTCGTTTTGGAGCCTCAGTTTCCCCGTCTCTAAAATGGAGTTGCTACTGCTCACCGCACAGGGCCTGTTGTGAGGCCCCGAAGAGGCAATAATGGATGTGCAAATATTTAATATATGGTTAAGAGAGAGTCACAGTACCATCTAAACCCTCTTATTAATCCAGTAGGAAATGTGAGGCAAAGAAATCCAAGGAACAGCCGGGAGGGTGCACAAAAGAGGGACAGACCTAGAGACAGGCCTGTGCGGATGGCAGAAGCACAGAGATCAAGAGCAAATGGGCTTCCAGCCAGCCAAGAGATTCAGATCCACGTCTGCAGGATGGAGAATCTGAGGGTAATGGAATCCTGGAATTGGGGAAGACCCAGGTCACTTCACTGGGCTTTACACCCGATTCAGGAACGGTGCTTTCTCCAGCTCTTTCCGACACCCACTGGGCCTCTGCCGGACACGTCCAGGCAGCTCCCACCCCCCACCTCTTGAGTCAGTCCACTGCATCACCCGACAGCCAGGTTGCAAAGTACTCCCTGATTAACCCCCCAATTTCCCCCTGCTCCTGGTTCTGCTCCCTGGAGCCACACATAATGAGGCTGTCGCAGGCGTGACCACTCTAGAAAAGTCGTCCGTAGCCAGGCTCAAGGGCCACCAGGCCCATCCAGTCTCCTGCTCCCACCCCCACCATGGCCCTCTCCTGAAACAGCCTCGCTTGGTGGGTCTGGCCCCTTCCTCCAGTGTGGGACCCACGCAGGCAGTCTACGGGGAATGGGCTCCCAGCAACCACGCCTGGACAGGAGAACCCATCTCCCTCGGCCCCGGACTACTCTGGGGCAGTCCACACCAAAACTCAGCTGAGGGTGCACTGCAGTGGAGCCCAGCTGAGCCGTCGAGCTGCAGCTGCAGCTCCTGGGGCCCAGCCATCTCAACCCAGCACCCCAGCCTGCTGCCTCACCACGGGGGAGTTGCAGAGAGCTGTCTCCCGGCAGATTTCCTGAGGCAGAAGGCTTCCCCACCCCCAGCCCAGCCTCCAAGAGACACTCCACTGGTTGTGGCACATGGTAGGACCAGCTGAGCAGTGAGAGGAAGGGGAAGGCTGTCCATTCGCTAGAGGACTTCAGACTTGCTCGGTAGTGTGGCTGGATTAGTCACAGAACCCTCAAATCTAAGCTGGGGGACCTTAAAGAGCATTCAAGGCAGACAAGATATGGGGGGACCTGATGGCCTGAGAGAGGAAGGGACTCAGTCAAGGTCACGAAGTCAGTCTACAGCACAGCTGGAAGGGGAACCCAGGTCTGCTAACTCCCGGTTCAGTGTTCTTTCCAATACAGCAAAAGGGAAAGCAGGGAGCCTTCAGGGCAGCCCTGTGAGCCTGCATGCCCTTGACTCTCTTAGCCTGACATTTATCCCGACCAGCTCTTGGTAGTGTCTGCAGGGAAGAAGTGGACCCAGCCCATGGCCCACCAACCCAAGAGATACTGCCAAGGTGTCCCAAATAGGCCAACACACAGACCCCAGCACAGAAACTGGCACTGATCCAACTAGAGGGAAGCTCTGTAGACTTCCCTTCCTGGTAGCTCTTTAACTGGGGGGTGTTTTTCTCCAGGGTGGAGAGGGGGTGGTCTTTGAGGAACTAACCAAGGGCCTGGCCTCCATCTTTGCTCCCCTGGCCAGGATGTGCTGCAGTTCCCCTCAGAGGGACGTCTCAGCCTCCAGCAGCCATTCCGGTCCCCACCTGCCTCTCTGGGAAAGGATGGGGCTGAGGCCGCCAGAGACAAGATCAGGCCTGCACTCAGGACCTGCAGAGGAGACCCAAAGTGGGGGTGGGGGGAGGATGGGGGCTTTCTTTCCCTTGGGGCTCTGAGGTGACACCATCAGATAATAGAAATCCCAAGCAGCACATCCAAAATAAATAAATAAACGAAAAGCCATCCCCTGGCAAGGGTACAGCTAAGGGGGTGAAGAAGTGGAGGGGCGAGGACTGCTGTAGGCCCTCACTGGCAGTGGTTTTGAGCAAGAAGAGACACCTGCACTCATCTGGCCAACCCAGGCTGGGGTGGCTAGAGAAGGGGTGGCGGCTCCTGGAGGAGGACCCAGCTCCTCCTGACAGGCTGGGACGGGAGAGGAGGACATGGCATCAGGCACGGGCTTCTTACTTTATCAGCCGGACAAGTTGGAGAGGGAACTAGAGGGGAAGAGCTGGGGTGAACGGAGTCGGGGCGGGGGGTGGTTTACGAACACACGTTCCTTACTTTCTCTGGAGGGTTGTGGCCGGGCTGGTGCTGGTACTGGTGCTGTGGCCGCCGCCGGCCCCGGGGCTGGAGCTCCTGGATGCGCCACGGCTCATCTGGCCCCGCTCCCGCGGTGGCCGGGGCCCCACGCCCACCGCCGCCGAATAGCCGGCTTCCTTCTCGCGGCCCGGGTGAGCTGGCCCCGTCTCCCGCCCGCCACGCTCGCGACCCAGGGCTGGGTTCTCGTGGTGCAGGTGGCACTGGGCCACGTCGCGCTCGCGGGCTGGGTAGCCGGTAGTGTCCTGGAGCGGGTAGGCGGCGTCCCGCTCCTTGTCCCGATACACTGCCTCCCGGTTCTGGTAGGCGCCGTCCCGGTTCGGGTAGCCCACGTCCCGAGCCGCCTGGTGGAACTGGCTCTCCCGCAGCTCGCGGTGGTGGAACTGGGTCTCGCGCAGGTTCTGGTACTGGCTCTCGCGGCCGGGGCTATCCCGCGCGCCGTGGGGGTCCCGGTGCAGCTCCCCGCGGTGCAGCTGGCTCTCCTCCCTCAGGTCGCGGTTCTCCTGGGTGAGCTGGTCCAGCTGGCCCTCCAGCTCTTCAATGCGCCGCCGCTGGGTCTCCAGCAGCTGCTGCTGGCTCTCGATGATGTTGTTCAGCTCCAGCAGGTACTCCACCGCCCGGTTGGGGCTCTCGGATCCCGGACCGCCCGGGGGCCCCGACCCCGCCTCCATCCTGGCGGCCCAGGGGCAGGGGAAGGGGCAGGAGAGCCCGGTCCCCGCTCGCTCACGGCGCCACCCTCCCCCGGGCCCAGCCGGGGGAGGGGGCCGGCGGGACGCGAGGGCGCGCACCGGGCTCGAGGGCCCGGGGGCCCGGGGGGGCCCGGGAGACAGCTCTGGGGCCGGCGGCACGGGGAGCAGGAGCTGAGGCTACCGCTGCCGCCGCCACCGCCACGGCTCAGGAGGACGCGGCCCACGGCGCTCCGCCCGCTGCGGAGTCACTGCGCAGCGCGGCCGCGCGGGACCGCCCCGGCCGCCGGCCCGCCCCCCGCCCCTGCCCCCACCCCGCGCGCCCGGCCCGCCCCCGCGCGCCCCACCTGCCGCCGCCACCCGCGCCCGAAGGCGGACCCGCCCCGAGACACCCGCGCCAGGCCGGGGCCGGCCGCATCACAGGCTGCGGGAGATCTCTCCGTGCCACCGCTCCCAGGGTCTTCGCCTAACGCAGCCCAACGAAGCCCTCCATCCCGGTCCGTTCCAGTGTCCCTCGGGTCCTCTCAGCCCGAGATCCTCATCCAAGACATCCCTGGAACCCCCGTCTCCGACAGCCTCCGGGTCCGGACACCCCCACGGACTCCGCATGCCCTGGGTCTGCCAATCCCAAGTGTCAGATTCCCCATCCCAGCCAACCCCTGGACGTCCTATCTCAGGCGACCTCCCTCCCGCCCACATCCCGGGTAGTCCCAGGATCTCTCATCCTCGCTAGTCCGTGGACCATTCTTCCATCCCAGCCAGCCCCGTGTCCCTCCAGCCCAGGCAGTCCACAGCTCCCCCTTCCCAGGCAGCCCCCGGAACATCACCCCCTTTTCCGCACACACAACATCACAGTCATCCCCCCCCCCCACTCCAGCCAGTTCCTAAACTCTCCATCCAAGGCAGCATCCAGATCCCCTACCCCAGTGAACCCCAGGATCGCCAAGGTTGGCTGGTCCTGGGGTGCTCCAACCAAGGCAGTCCCAGGATCCCATCCCAACGAGTTCTGGGACTCCCCATGGCAGTTGGTCTTAGGATCAAAGCTCCATTCATTCATTCAACTCTCACTTTCTGCCCTCCTTTGGAAATGTTCTTCTCCACTCTGTCCATCGTCTTCAGCCAGTGGAACTGTAGCCATCCTTCAAGACTTAAATGTCACCTTACTGAAGCCAACCTCGATTTCCCTGGCCAGAAGCGCTTGCTTTCGCTCTCCTCTCAACCTCCCATTGCACTTCTCTACACTTCTCCTGGGGTACTGTGGGACAAGTGGAACTCTGCTTTAAAGCACATTCGTTTGTGTTCTTTGTTTTATGTCCCCTGCCAGGCTGAGCTCCTTAAAGCCAGAAACATGTCTTCATTCATCTTTGTGAGCAGGTTGGGGTAGAGGAGAAAGCATCCATTTTACAGTCAGACAAAAATGGATTTAAATTCTATCTTCTCCTCTCTGAACTTCCATTTCCCCCAAATAATAACACCTGCCTCACAGGAGTGGTCTTGGAAAAAAGCAGGTAAAATCATTGGGCACAGAGAACAAAACCCACAGAATAGGAGAAAATATTTGCAAATGGTATATCTGATAAGTGTTTTGTGTTCAAAATACACAAAGAACTCTTAGAGCCCAACAACAAAGAAGACGACCCATTTTTTTTGAATGGGCGAAGAATTTGAAGAGACATTGCTCTGAGGTACAAAGGACCGATAGGCTCATGAAAAGACGCTCACCACCATTAGCCACCAGAGAAACACAGATCAAAAACCACAATGAGAAACACACACACACACACACACACACACACACACTGAGCTTTCTGTGCTACCCACACGGTGTTGTTCTGGGTTCCTGTCATAACTTTCACGATTTCCAGAGCCCTTGGTGTCCTGTAGATGAAGGAGGAGGCTGTCCTTAAATTCCTTGCAGCAGGAACCCTTCTAGGTGGCACCAAGCTTGACTTCCAAGTGGAACAGTACATCTACAAAAGGAAAAGTGAAGGCATCTACATCTTAAATCTGAAGAGAACCTGGGAGAACCTTCTGCTGGTGGCTTGTACCATTTTTGCCACTGAAAACCTGGCTGATGCCAGTGTCATATCGTCCAGGAATAGTGGCCAGCGAGCTGTGCTGAAGTTTGCTGTTGCTACCGGAGCCACTCCTACTGCTGGCCGCTTCACTCCTGGAAGCTTCCCTAGCCAGCTGGCGGCAGCCTCCCAGGAGCCATGACTTCTGGTGGTGACCGGTCCCAGGGCTGACCACCGGCCTGTCACAGAGGTGTCTTATGTTAACCTGCCTGCCATCGCTCTGTGGAACACAGACTCTCCTCTGGGCCATGTGGGCATTGCCATCCCGTGCAACAACAAGGCAGAACCCTCAGTGGGTCTGATGTGGTGGGTGCTGGGCCAGGAAGTTCTTTCTGCGCATGCGTGCCATCATCTCCCATGAGCACCCAGGGGAGGTCATGCCTGATCTCTACTTCTACAGCGATCCTGAAGAGGTTGAAGAGGAAGAGCAGGCCACTGCTGAAAAGGCTGTGTCCAAGGAGGCATTTCGAGGTGAATGGACTGCTCCAGCTCCTGAGTTTACTGTTACTCAACCCAAGGTCACAAACTGGTCTGAAGGTGTGCATGTGCCCTTGGTGCCTTTCCAGAAGTTCCCTATTGAAGACTGGAGCGCTCAGCCCACTACAGAAGACTGGTCCGCATCTCCCACTGCTTTGGCCACTGAATGGATAGGAACAACCATTGGGTGGTCTTTGGGGATGCAAAATGGTGTGGCCACTTGGGAAAACAGTTTGAAATTTTCTCAAAATGTTAAACATAGAGTTACCACATGACCCGGGAATTCCACTCCTAGGTATATAGCCAAGAGAAATGAAAACATATGTCCACCAAGAAACATGTACATGAATGTTCATAGCAGCATTATCTGTAATAACCAAAAAGTAGAAATAATCAAATGTTCATCTGTTGATGAATGGGCAAACAAAATGCACCATATCCACCCAATGGAGTATTATTCAGCCACAAAAAGGAATAAAGTGCTGATCCATGCTAAAACATGGATAAACCTTAAAAACATTATACCACGTTATGCTAAATGAGACACAAAAGGCCACATATCGTGGGGCGCCTGGGCGGCTCAGTTGCTTCAGCGGCCGACTCTTGATTTTGGCTCAGGTCATGATCTCAGGGTCGTGAGATTGAACCCCCTATTGGGCTCCATGCTGGGTGTGGAGCCTGCTTAAGTTCCTCACTCTCCCTCTTCTTCTGCCCCTTCCCCCCTGCATGCACGCCCTCTCGCTTAAAAAAAAAAAAAAAGACCACATATTGTGATTTCACTTATATAAAATTCCAGAATAGGCAAATTCATAGAGTCAAAAAGCAGAGTAGTGCTTGCCAGGGGCTGGGGCATGTGTTGGGGGAAGGGGAGTGACTACTAACAGGTATGAGGTTTTTCTGAGGGAGAATGAAAATGTTCTAAAATTAGATTGTGGTGGGACGCCTGGGTGGCTCAGTTGGTTAAGCCTCTGACTCTTGATTTCAGCCCAGGTCATGATCTCAGGGTTGTGAGATGGAGCCCCGAGGTGGGCTCCTCACTGGGCGTGTAGGCTGTTTTAAGATTCTCTCTCTCCCTTTCCCTCTGCCCCTACACCCTTCTCTCTCCCTCTCTAAAAATACAGTAAATAAAAAATAAAATTCGATTGTGGTGATGGTTGCACAACTCTGTTAATTAAAAATCACTGAACTGTACATTTTTAAAGGGAGAATTTTATGATACGTGAATTTTATCTCAATAAGGCTAGTTAAAAAAAAACCAAATACCTTCCACAGAGTGTAGCACATAAGAGCAAATACAGTAATAATAACTAACACATCTATGGAGCTCATCATGTGCCAGGCACTGTGCTAAGCATTTTACATGTATGAGCTCACTTAATCCTCATGACAATCCTATGAGGTAGGTAGTGTTATTACCTCCATGTTACGGGTAAGGAGAATGAAACCCAGAGGTTGAATGACTTGCCCAGGGTCACACGGAGGCATAGCCGGGATGCTCAGATGTTTCCTTCTCGCTTCTTTATACCTTTTCTCAGAGCTTTATACAAAAAAGGTGCCCCATAAGTGTTAACACATCCATCAAATACTTCTATTCATCCAGTGAATACTTACAGAGTATTTATTATGTTCTAGGCAATACCTGCATTCTCATCTTTATCCTTGCTTCTTTCATTCAGATTCCCTGTGGGGCATGGGGCAAATGGGTAGGAACATTCATTCACAAAATACTTGTTAAGTCTCTACTATGTGTCAAGCACTGTTCTAGACACTGAGGATAGAGTAATGAACAAAATAGACAACAATCCCTAACCTCATGACGCTAACAAATCTAGTGGGACAGAGAGACAATAAACAAATAGAATATACAGAACATGCTGGATGGTATACCAGATTGAATAGTAGCCCTCAAAACTTGATGCCCACCTTGTGCATGCAAGCTTATTTGGAAATAAAGGTCTTGGCAGATGTCATCAAGTTAAGGTGAGGTCATGCTCTATTAGTGTGGGTCCTAATCCAATGACTGGTGTCCCTCTAGGAAGAGGGAAATGTGGGCATAGACACACACACACACACGCGCGCGCATGCGCGCGCGCCCGAGGAGAATGACATGTGAAGACAGAGGCAGAGATTGCCGTCTACAAGCCAAGGAATGCTAAGGATTGCCAGCAGCCACCAGAAGGTAGGAAGTGACAAGGAAGGATTCTTCCCTAGAGACTTCAGAGAGAGAGCATGGCCCTGCCAGCACCTTGATTTCAGACTTCTGGCCCCCAGAACCCTGAGAGAATAAGTTTCCATTGCTTTAAGTCACCCAGTTTGGGGTGCTTTGTTACAGCAGCCCTAGGAGATGGACACAGGTAGTGATAGGTGCTCTGGAGAAAGACAAAACAGGGAAGGAGGATGGAGGGCCCTGGGTGAATCAGACATAGCCTGTGCCCTCAGGGAGCTCCCCATCTAGTCAGAGAGCTGTAACCATGGGTCACAAACGGGACTAACCAGACAATGTGTAAAGCGCCAGAGCAGAGGCACTGCAGGACTGGGGTGCTGGGAGGTCTTTATGGCTGTGAAGGTGTTTGAGCTGAGCTTAGGGTTTCAACAGGTCCAAGCGGAAGAGCTGGAAAATACCTGTTGAAGGGAACCACGTGTGGCGGGAGGAAAGGAACAGTCAGTAAAACCG